GTGATTCCCTAGTTAATAGTTTAACCGCCAAAATTCTCACGAGGCCGTAAGTGATACCTAACAGCGAGGGAACGTTGAGCGTGGGCAGAGGGTCATTACCCTAAAATTTCAGCCTCCTAGTCTCCGTGGTTCCTGAGATATTAATTTACCCATAAAAAACTTTCAGGGGGCCGTATGTGTTATTCGCGGATACGGGAAGGCTGAATTTAGATTTGCCGCGTCACCCGTTGGCGGGGAACACTATACCAAAATTTCAGCCGCCTAGCTTTTGTGGTCCCCGAGTTGAAAATGCGGGACAAAATGTGGGACACACACACACACACACACAGACAACCCCGCGACAACATGCGTTTTGTAAGGCTGTTACACAGCACAAAACGCATAAAAAAACAATGAAAAGTTGGAACAGACACCATCTTTATCACTTACAAAAGTTTCTGACAAGGCACTCAGCTCAATGTCTTCTCTTTTTCAGAAGGTAAATCTAACGTGCTCTAACCGATGGTCGAAAAAAAAGTTCAAGGGCGAGTAAAAAGAAGGAAAGCAATATCCGAAAGGAAGGCGAAAGACGCTGAGGTAAAAAATTCTTTAAGACTCGGCTTATTTTCGAACCTATAAATTTTGCTTCGTTGCAAGCAGTTTGTTTGGGTGACAAAAACCCCTCGGGGCATCGCCCTTATTGCGCAGCGAAGCAGTTTCCTATACTTCTAAATGCCCGTTTCCGAATTTTTTACTCTTCCTCAGTCAGATGCCGATCAGACGGCCAAAGGCATTTAACCTCCGACTCCCATAAGTAGGCCCATCATCTGAGAAACGTTGTTGATAAGGTTAACAAGAACTTACAGAGCGGTGCATGCCAATAACCAAACTTTGTTTTGCAAAAATTTTCAGTGGGACCCATGCCTCGTTCGAATAAAGGAATAACAGACAAAAATGGACAGGATAAAGAAGGGGGCGCTGCGTGAAAAAATATTAAAAAAAGGAAATTTCCTACAATTAGATATTCACTATAACAACTCCAAACAGCCTGTTTCCCATCGTTACTAGAGTGTGTTAATCTCCACTGTCCTATTTTTGCAACCGTTACGCAAAAATGCGAAAAAAAAACAGAACGGAAGTAAAGCTGAATGAAAGTACCTCGTCAGCAGATTTCGAGCAGCCCCGCAACCTCTCGCCACGTACCCAGATACCACTCGGCTCCTAAAAATGCTCGTATTTCTCATAAATAAACCCTAAAGGGCACATC